TTTTTAGGTCACTACAGACACCGCCTTCTACGTTGCAAAAGAATCCCGTGATCGACCATATATTTGCCATCTGAAAGCTATCCCAGAACATCCTCACAACTTCTTTGTGATGACACATCACAGCGCATACCTCTGCGACGATCGCTTTCCTAAAGATGCGGTACTAACTCTCCCACATACCATTCCATATGGTGGCCATGTGCTGTATGCTTGTACCCCTATCTCGGATAATCAAGGATCTGGAGAGGTGGTCTCAGTGTACTTGTTAGATCACCTTCTAACTGGTGTTTGGGTGTCGCGGCTGTATTATCACGACTGCAAAGCATGGTCGTCAATTCTCCCAATTCACGCATTAGAAGACTACCACGACTTTGGAAGGCTAGTGAAACCAATTCCGGGTTCCTTTATTCGCGACAGTCATCCAACCCCGACCAATGGTATGGCAGTCGTTCAGGGTTTTGAGGATATAAAGGGCAGAAAAATGCAACTTTTGCTAAGATCCTTCAATTCTGGTGAAGTCTACTATCAAACGATGCGGTATGGTTGTATAGACGATGTTGAATTAAAGAAGTTTTGGATAGAAAGTCAGAGAAGACTTATAGCTTCACAAGGTTATGCCGAAAATAATGACGTGTTCAAGCCAACAGTTCCTGAAAGCAAAGAAAGTATTTCCGTTTCCATCACCGTCAGTGATGAAGATTTTAAAGAAATTTCTGCAGCATCTAAGAAAAGAAGATGGAACCCTCTCCAGAAAAGGGTGTACAAGAATTGCACACCACTTGAGCCGCTGCAGCCTTTGAGCTCTAAAGCAGTACTTCCGCAGGTGATAAATGATGTGTGGCATGAGGCGATGAGCATGGGTTGACCGAATTTACCTGCTTTTATGTACGTCACGGGTATGCCGGTTGTGGACCTAGGTTTGATCAAAATTTCATTGCTCGAATCTGTTTTCGCATTATGTTTGGCCATTGATACATTACATCCTTTCACTTGTGTCATTTCTGCTTTATTACTTTTCTTCTTGAAATCGTTGTTGTCCTTTAGTTTTGTTGTTAAGGCGCTTCGCTAGCAGTAGAAGTGCGTCGGTTGAGTAAATACTTTGCTGTTGTTGTTTTTCCATTATTTTCAGCTCAAAAGTTCTACTCCAAACTGTACTTCATTTTTGCGATATTGCTAAAGTTGATTCTGATAATTTCAGAGAAATGCTGTGGATTTCGAGGAAGTCTGGGCTTTCCGACCCCAAGTGTCGAAGGTAAAGTGCGCAGCGTGGCTAATCTTGCACAGACATACAGGTTTTCACGTTCGATCATCTTTATTTTTGAATTCAATAATTTTTTTCTGTAGGTTGGTTGGGAGTAGACTCTCCAAATAAATGTATGCCTCACCCGGCTCGTCCATTAACTGATATTTTGGTGTAGGCTTTCTACAGACTTAAATGGTAATCAACCATTCAGCGCTGATGACTCACTGCTGATGACAACTCGTATGCGCGAGGGTTATTTGAATGCTGAGAATAAACACCTTATCATATATGGCCATGTATCGAGTGTGGGTGTGGTAGAAGAGGGGAAGTCAAAGTCTTGGATATACCTGAAAAA